TGCAATTTCACGGTCACAGGTCCTACTCTCTTCAGGATCCGGAAGAGTCCGATATAGCGAGCGGTGAGCTTTCGACACCCCGGAGTCCTAAGGTTCTTAGTGGACAGCCACACCTGTTGCCCAACCCGGTAGGGGAATCCCAGTCGCCGATGGCGATCTGCCTGGGTCTTGTGTCGACCTGATTGGACCCGGAGAGAGGTTTGGATCTGACTCCATGCGCGTTTGCATCCCTGGTACCAGGCGTCCACCCGAGGCACTGCTCCAGAAGGTGAGTCCCAGGGAAATAGAGGGGGCTGAAAGCCTAACACACACTGAAAAGGGGTCAGTTTAGTTACTGGACTCACCCGCGAGTTGATGGAGTATTCTACCCACACTAGATGAGAGGACCAGCTTGAAGGATCGGTCTTACATAATAGGCGAAGGGCCTTGGATACCTCTTTGTTCGTGCGTTCGGCCAGTCCGTTCGCCTGGGGATGGTAAGCTGAGGTAAGGCTTAGAGACACACGTAATTTCCTACAGAATTCACGGAATACTCTGGATGCAAACTGAGGCCCTCGATCAGATACGATATCTTCGGGGTTACCCGCGAATCGGAAGAGGTCGTTCATTATTATCTCAGCGAGGTCGACAGCGGAGGGGAGCTTAGGGAGAGCGACCAGCCGGCACATCTTAGAGAAACGGTCGACCACGGTGAGGATCACGGTCTTACCCAAGGACCGAGGGAGATCAGTGATGAAGTCCATAGCGACATGCGACCACGGTCTGGAGGGGATGGATAAGGGTTAGAGGAGACCTGCGGGGCTCAGGGAAGAGGATTTATACCTACTGTAGCACACTCTGGACAGTCAATGAAGGTTTGAACATGTCGTCGCCAACCAGGCCACCAATACCGGCGCGCGACCAGACGCTGAGTAGCCGAAATTCCGGGGTGCCCCGTACCTGACTGGGCGTGGATCCATCTAAGGAAGCTTTACGACGGGAAGGTGCCATGTACAACCGGTCAGGGGGGCAACCCACCGGAGGGGTGCGAGTCTTGTTGTCCATTTTAATGGTGTCCTCCAACCCCCAGGTAATAGACGAAATAAAACAGGAAGGGTTAAGAACAGGATAGTCTTTTTCCATACTCTAAGGAGGATCAAACTGCCGGGATAGCGCGTCAGCCTTCACATTCTTCTTACCTGGTAGGTAACTCACCTGGAAAGTAAAACGGGCAAACCATTGTGCCCAACGAGCCTGACGGGAGGTCAGCCGTTTGGCCGACTGAAGGTATTCTAAATTGCGGTGGTCGGTCAACACCACGAAGGGGTGTCAGGCTCCTTCCAACCAATGGCGCCACTCCTCCAGGGCAAGCTTGATGGCGAGGAGTTCCCGATCGCCTACGTCATAGTTTCGTTCTGCAGAGGTTAACTTACGTGAGAAGTACGCACAGGGATGCCGTCGCCCTGTCTCCGGGTTCCGTTGGATGAGTACGGCCCCCACTCCAGCCTCGGATGTGTCAACTTCAATCTCGAAAGGAAGGTCAGGTTGCGGCTGCTTCAACACTGGGGCTGAACAGAAAGCCTGCTTTAATTTCTTGAAGGCTCCCTCGGAGCTCAGATTCCATTCAAGCCTGGTATTCTTTCCCCTAGTGAGAGAAGTGAGAGGGGCAGCGATCCGACTGAAATCCCAGATGAATCTCCAGTAGAAATTTGTAAACCCAAGGAAGCGTTGCAGGTCCATAAGGGTCTTGGGTGTCGGCCACTCCTGAATAGCCGCGATCTTTTGCTCCTCCATCGACACCGCCCCAGGTTTAATGACATACCCGAGGAACCTCACGGAGTCTTGATGAAACTCACATTTCTCCCCCTTCACATAGAGGTGATGTTCTCGTAACCGTAGTAGCACCTGCCGCACATGTTGTACATGCTCCTGTTTAGACAGGGAGTAAATTAAAATATCGTCTATGTACACCACCACAAACTGGTATAACATATCCTGGAAGATTTTGTTCATGAAAGATTGGAAAATAGAAGGGCTGTTCGCCAACCCGTATGGCATCACGAGGTATTCGAACTGCCCCCTACTAGTGATTAATGAGGTTTTCCACTCGTCCAAAGCCTTTATCCTTACCAGATTATACGCGCTGTGCAGATCCAACTTGGTAAAAATTACCGCATCTCGGAGATATTCTAGCGCCGAAGGGATCAAAGGGAGCGGTTCCCTTCGTTTGATTGTCACGGCGTTCAAGGCTCGGTAATCCACCACAGGACGCAGCCCACCATCCTTCTTCTTAATAAAGAAGCCCGCGGTCATGGGGGAGGTGGATGGCTGGATGATTCCTTGCTTGAGCCCGTCCAGAATGTAGTTTTCCAAGGCTTCCTCCTCCTGTAAAGACACTGGATACAACCGGCCATGGGGCAGAGTAGCTCCGTCCAACAAATCAATCAAACAGTCACAATCCTGATGCGGTGGCAGACTGAACACTTTTGTCTTGCTAAATACATCTCTGAAGTCGCGATACTCCCCAGGAATCGCTTCCAGGTTCTCAGGCTCGGGACTTTCAATACCTGTAGCTTTGCAAGGGATAGAAATGCATTCTCGCATACATCGTTCAGACCAGGCGATTATCTCCCCCGTCCGCCAATCTAGACGGGGGTCATGCTTGCGGAGCCAAGGCAACCCAAGTATAAGCAGATCCTTTGCATGTGGTAACACAAAGACTTCGAGACTTTCCTGGTGCAAAATTCCCACCTGCATCAAGAATGGGTGGGTGCGGTGGATGACAGTCCCTTCCGCCATCCGCTCCCCCGTTACTCCGTGCACGGAGATGGGGTGCGCTAGCCTCTGAAGCGGTAGACCCATCCGATTAGCCAATCCCGCGTCAATGAAATGACCAGCTGCCCCGCTATCGATCAGAGCGTTTACCCGGAGGCGTTGGTTTCCCCACTCTAAGACCACAGGTATAGTGATTTGTGAAACCGAAACAGGTGAGAGGGAAGATACACCTCCAGCAGGGAAAGGTCGTCTCGTTGGGGCCGGACAGGACAGGCTGAGATGGAGTGGCCGGTTCCACCACAGTACATGCAGAGTCCTCCCAGAAGACGTCTACGACGTTCCGTGGGTGTTAAGGGGGATCGACCCACCTGCATCGGTTCCGGGGCCTCAATCGCCAGGTGAGTTGTTCGTCGAGGGGGTTCCGGTGGGGGAGACGCTACGTGCCGCCGACGGCGTCTGTCTCTTACGGTGTTGTCAAGTCTGACAGCCTGCCGAACCAAGTCCTCGAAGGAGGGCGCTTCTCCCCTGTTCGTGAGTTCATCTTGCAGTTCCGGGTTCTCAAGAATATCGTTTGGAGGCAGTCATCCGGCCAACGAAGGTTGGCAGCTATGGTGCGAAACTCCAAGGAGAAATCAGCAGCTGTTCTATTGCCTTGTCGACAGTCCAAAAGCTGAAAACCCGGTTTTCTCCCCACCGCCGGGTGATCGAACACCTCCATGAGAGCGTGATGAAACTCCCGGCCTGACTCGAGGAGAGGACTATTGTCAGCCCAAAGGGCTGTAGCCCATTCCCGTGCCCGTCCAGTTAGTAAGGAAATCGTGAAGCGTACCTCCGCTCCAGGCTTACTGAACATCTCAGGATGTTCCTCTACGTAAATCCCACACTGCATAAGAAACCCCCTGCACTGGTCCGGGTTGCCGTCGTAACGTTCTGGCAAGGCTATAGGCAAAGGAGGGGTCGGACGTGGGGGTGAATCGGGCAGAGGCACCTGAGCGGCTTGTGAAGAGACCAGCTGTTCCAGGGCCGCCATGCGACGTTCCAGAAGTGCCGGGAAAGGTAGGCTTTACTGGAGTTTGAATCAGGCGAGCAATCGAGACCCGTGGTATACGGGCAAGCGGTGACAGCTCCGCAGTCCGATCGTTGGTTATGAGGGCGGTGAGCGGGGACGGAGCTTTCCCCAGGGGGAACCGAGGCAAAGGTACAGAAGGGGCACGCAGAAGTCGAAGTCTTGATCCTAAAGCGAAGGTCGATGCCAGGGGAATCCGTCCGAAACAGAGACACCAAAACAGGGCACACGAGGGAAGGAGGACACAGGACGCCGGGCTCAGCGGGGCAGGCAG